GTGGTAGACGCCGTCTTTTCTNATTCGGCCTTTGCTGCTTCCTATCTCGTCTTCGATCCTTGAGTATTTGTTTATCCGAGCCATCAGCTCCCCCATATCCGAGGGAGTTTTCTTGGTCAGGGATCGGTACAGGTCCGTGTCCCTCGCCAGGCCGAGCCGGAAATATGCAGCTACCATGACTTCCGAGCAACCTTCTACCTCATAACCTCTTCCCAGTATCGGATGGCATACTGGCAAAGGATCTCAGATTCCCTACGTCGGAGGGTCAGCAATGATCCAACGTCTTTCANCTTGATCCGGGGGATAGAGAGGGATCTGATGATATCCTGCTCGAGCATCCAGGAAGTTCATTCGTTCATATCCGGCAGTGGCATCTACTTGCTGGTCCACCTTTGGTAGGGGATAGTCGTCCTTGGGACATGCCTTGTTCAGATCTGTAAAGTCTACGTAGACACGTCATTTCCCCCCTTTCTTCCTTGCGCACACCGTATTAAACAGCCATTCTGGGAACTGTATCTCTCGAATGGCGTCGGCCTTTAGGAGTTTGTCGATTTCCTCATTGACCGCGTTNGAGTCACTACGCCTGTCAAATCTGCGTCGGAGAATGTAATGCCAAGCTCACCCGTCTTGGCCCTTTTACTCGNCCAGGAACTGCCTCGTCAACTCCTTCCACGACCCAATACTGTTTGGGGGAAGCGCCTTGAACCACTTCATCGCAGAGTCTCCCAAGCTCATTGAAAATACTCGGCAGAGAAACCGTTGGTCCGAATGATAGAGGGACATCATCTGCTTGTATTGCCTGAGATGGGCTTCGGGATCGGATCGTCCGTCATAAGTTTTGAACCTCGGCACGATGAACTTTCTGGAAACCTCCATCTCCNTGGAAACACTCGGCAGAGAAACCGTTGATCCGAATGATAGAGGGACATCATCTGCTTGTATTGCCTGAGATGGGCTTCGGGATCGGACCGCCCGTCATAAGTTTTGAACCTCGGCACCATGAACTTTCTTGAAACCTCCATCTCTCTGATCTCCCTGGTGAAGGGTGTTTGTATGACCTCGTCTTCGACCTCATCCTGGATAACCTTACTCTTTCTCTTGGATTCCAGCCGAGCTCTGAGATCGATTTCCTCCCTGACGGGATGTTTTCTGACGTCCTTGAGCTCCTCAATGGGCCCCTCATTTCCTGGGCGTCGTGCGGATAGGGAAGAATCCTCCTCGGACTCATCCCCCTCCCTTCGTCTAGACAATCCTCGCCGGAGGTCGTCCAGGGCTAATGGTCTTGCCTTTCTTGAATAGTCGTTAGGAAGGTGCTCGTTGGCTCTCGGTCGCTTTGGAGCCCGGGAGCTCTCCGCCTTGTTGTTCAGATGATTCCTTAGATCCTTCGTTTCCGCCTCCCGGGCGGGGAGCCCACGAGAGAGGAACGAGTCCCTCGACCCTTCGCCGGAGGCGGCGAATTCGTTGAGCTGGCTTAGGACGTTTACATTGTCCTTTTCCAGCTGTCGTAATCTATCGCCAAACTTTTCTTCAATCACCTCCGCCAGCTGACGAGCCAGGGGGGCTGATCCCCCTGACCTGATTCCCATACTGGTTTGAGGGGTAACCCCTCTTGACTGAGTAGAGGCATTTTTATTCCCATCAGTGTGATCCCTCCCTCCATGGTGACAGGGAGCTTGTAATTCGAGACTTCTTTGGTGGGGACCTTTCCCTTTTTGTCGAGTGTTCACCATGGTCACTGTTCTTTATAGAGAAAAAACTAGGAAAACTAGTCGTTTCCCACAGACGGCGCCAGATTGTGCGTGCAAGATCCTGCACAATATAAAAAACGAGAACAGATCTCTCCCTTGGTGAACTCGAGTGAGTCAGTTGAGTGACCAACCAAGCTGCTTGGGACAGCCTGTGAGATCCAGTGGTGACCTGGAACGATAACNGAGAACAGATCTCTCCCTTGGTGAACTCGAGTGAGCCAGTTGAGTGACCAACCACGCTGCTTGGAACAGCCTGCGAGGTCCGGTGGTAACCTGGAACGGCAACGGGAGACCCTGGGGGAGCGGAAGAACGATCCAGTAAGGCTGAAAGAGGTTCCTGGAACAAAGAAGAACAAGTTAGAAGGGCGCCGGAGTGTTTTCCGGCTTATCCCCTCCGACGATCAAGTCAACTTTTGAAAGGGAGAGGAAGAAGAAAGCACTGAGTATCTCTCGTAGTAAAGAGTTTTCGTGTTGCATACCTTTTTGCCTTTTATGAGGAGTTTTTATACCTTAAAAGCTCATGATTGCTGTCAGTGTTGTCAGTAGATGATCATTAGGGACTGGCAGTGTGCACACTGATTCTGATGAGGAATGTCTTCCTTTCTTTAACTGCTCGGGGAGCCGAGCAATCAATGCTGTGTCATCGGGCTGCCGACTGTCTGATGATCCCCGCTCGGGGAGGATGCAATAAATGCCTATNGAGAGAGGAAGGAGAAAACACTGAGTGTGTATTGTAGTAAAGAGTTTTTTGTTGCATACCCGTCTTGCCTTTTGCAAGGAGTATTTATACCTCAAAAGCTCATGATTGCTGTCAGTGTAGTCAGTAGGTGATCATTAGGTACAGGCAGTGTGCGCACTGATTCTGATGAGGAATGTCTTCTCTTCTTAACTGCTCGGGGTCCCGAGCAATCAATGCTGGGTCATCGGGATGCCGACGGTACAATGTACTCCTTTCGGGGAGCNGTCGCGTGTCAGTAAGGGCATGCAGTCTTTCTGTCTCTGATGTGACACAATTTGCCATGCGTCCATCTCTTATTGGCTGTGGACCCTGCCTTCCTGTTCCCTCTGACACCAATTGCGTAAGACGAGATCATGATAGCTAACCTAAACTAGCCTAGGCTAGTGACCTGTACATCAATAACTTATACTAGAGCAGAGAAAAAGGCATCTTGGACGGTACATCTCGGTACCGAGGTANCTCTGTATTAGGAGCATTTATTGTCTTTCATTTCCGAGCCTTACCGCATTAAATGCGGTCTCATCAAGGGAATGATGTAATTAATCGTTTGCTTTCCCAGNCTCGGTACCGAGGATAGGTACATCTCGAGCCGAGGGAAGCCGTTCATGATGACCGAGGTACAATACAGACCGAGGCACCATATTAGACCGAGGGATACGTGTCGGTTCGCAAAACGTACTCGACACGCATCAAGCACCTCGGGGCGAGGGATTTATAAGTCGATGATACGTGATCTCAGTTAACAGGATTTTAGTGACGCCCGAGAACACGTGTCTTCATCTTGAAATATTTCAAAAAAGTCTCATCAATTTTCAATCTCATTTTGCCAATCTTGGTACTTGATTGCAGTGTCAGATGCTCACCAAAGAGCAAGNAGCCTAGACTAGCCTAGGCTAGTGACCTGTACGTCAATAGCTTATCCTGGAGTAGAGAAGGCGTCCAGGACGGGTACACCTCGGCACCGAGGAAAGGCTCGTCTCGGAACCGAGNTTGGGTATCTGACATAAAGTCGTTCATCTTGCGTTTAAGTATTTTGGCCACATAAACTCGTGTTTAACTAATATAGTTTATTCTTGTCCCGATCGGCAGCTGTTGGGTCTCCCCATTCTCTCTTAAACTTCCCCCAGTCTTCAGCCCGAGCTGAATGAGGTAGAAGCTTGTCCCACGTACGGTTCAGAGGCTGAGCCGCACCCCCAATATTAAGGGTGTGGCTTAGGTCATTTAAAACAAAGAAGATACAATCCACTCAACGATTGTCTCNAACAATGTTTTGATAAATACCGAGGACACGTGTCTTCATCATGGAGTATTTCAGAAAAGTTCCATCAATAGATAATTAAACAACATATATAATTCCAATAATTAGAAAACATGTTGGATGCTTTACAAATAAGAAAATTCTGATCCTACAACATACATAAAATGGTGAAATTATGGCATATGTTCATTGTATTTTACAGATCCGCAGTCTAGAATAAATTCGTCTGATTCAACTGGTGATCGAGTCTATAAATGTGTTGAAGATATGGGAAGATTGCATGAATTACGGGATCAATTTCAGATTCATGTCAGCCACAGTTGCTGATTAGCAGACTTTGGTGAAGAAAATAAGCCACCGTACGTCATCTATAAATATATTATATTGAGAGACCTATCAGAACCCCATTAGAAATGAATAAGTTTCAATTCTAAGGTCTGAACTTCATGGCTACTACAACTATGATATCTCCATTCTCTCTCCCAGCAGAACATGAACATGCAAACATACGCCATATCTGTTTGAATGAAGGAACAAGAAGTCTAAAGTAACCATTATATTATATATACTGGGAGGAATGGGACATATCGTCGATATGTCCGAGTGGTTAAGGAGACAGACTCGAAATCTGTTGGGCTTTGCCTGCGCAGGTTCGAATCCTGCTGTCGACGTTTTCTCTATAAAAGATTGAAATTTTTATATTATACCCTTCGTTTTCTTTCTTTCTTCCCCTTACATGAATGAATGACACTTTAAACCCTAAAAGATTGAAATTTTTATATTACACCCTTTATTAAATAACACGATTGTTCATAATACTCAATTTTAAGCACTTTTAATGAAAATTTTGTTTTCAATCTAGTTTTATATTATATTATACTATTCAAAAAGTACACTAACTAAAAAAAAAAATTATTTTCCAAAATTACCCTTAAATAATACTACAAACTCGATTCTATCTTTGATTTAAAAGTTATTGAAACTAATTTCTCTGTTTTTTTTTTCCATTATTAATATGCTAGGTCATTTACTTCAATAACAATGAAATAATGTAAAACCTTACAAATTCTTGCACTTTATATTCAATATGCACCATCATTTGCATACATGAACCGTTTTTTTTTTCACACAAATAATACACACCAAGAAAACTCATCAACTTGTGATCTCTATAAATTCTGCAATCAAGCCCATCATACTACGCATCCCAAGTTTATCCATCCGTAAAATACTTCTAAGTTGTCAAGGTAAGTACCTAGTCGTATCTCCTGTTGATCTCTATCTTGACAAATAATCATGATGAGCTCGTTCATCAACACATCCCAATATACCAGGTCATTCACGTATGGGGAGGATATCCATGAAACTACAAGGGAAGAGTCGCATTCGATATCAATGTAGTTATAACCCATCTCTCTGCAAAAAACAAACATTAAGGGCTGTTTGGTACGTGCGTTTGGGATATAGGTTAGGGAATAAACCCCCTTAAACCTATGTTTAACAACTATACATTTAATCCAAAGTTTGAAATCTAGTCCGGTCATGATTCGGTCATGAAATTCACATATTTGGATTTCATGAAACTTAAGGGGGTGAATTTCATATGTGAGTTAATGGGTTTAACATACAAATGACATTTATACGTTCATATATCTTATATATAAATTGGTTAAGGGGCACAATAGTCATTTAAATATAAATATATTTTCATAATAATCATATATCCCTATACATACTAAACATAAGTATAGACAACATTGAATGTTAAATCCCAACTTTGAATCTCACCGAGTTTAAACAAGTGAATCCAAACCCTTCCCAAAAACATACCAAACAGTCCCAAAAGTTACCGCTCGAAGTTCCGCTTCATTGTTCGTTTCGTCGAAAATGCAGCTTGAACATTACCTAACGAATTCCAAGTATAGTGAGGATAACGANCCTAACAGAATCTTGAGTAAGTCATAACAATGAAGCATTTCCATTTCCACAGCTTGGCTAGAATTTTCCACTGAAATAATAGATCACATCATACATGGAAGCACGGATACGGAACACCCGTGTTGTTTATAATACGATATAGATACATGGATACGATAAAGTTGCAAAATATAAGACATGAGTACGGTAAAGATAAGATNTTATATTGTCTTTTCCTATAATCAATGCTATTAATATTTAATTTATTGATCTAATTTGTTAATTTAATTTATTATAATTATAAGATTAATTGTGGGTCTCATAAAATATTAAAAATTAGTGTTAATCCAATGACTACAATAAAACCGCATCGTTGGTACAATAAAATAAATCAAAATTTTAAGCGTCAATATCATTATTATTTGCGTATTAATACTCTGTTTGGTTGTGTACGCTTAGAGTTATCTGTAAGATGCCAAGATATTACCAGGTCAATAGCATTTTTTGTTAGTTTCTGACGAGCCCAAAACTAGATTAAATTTGGGCCCACGATATGGGTTGAACCCAAATCGTCGAAAAGTGGGTGAGACTTAATTTACGATCTCAGTCCGATCTAAAACTCAAAAGTTTAANATATGGGTTGAGCCCAAATCATTAAAAAGTGGGTGAGACTTAATTTACGATCTCAGTCCAATTCAAAACTCAAAAGTTTAGAAAAAATCAATGCACATCATCAAGATATAGTCATTATTCCAAGATAATGTCTATCTCCAACTATAACTATCTTTCTCCATAAATTAGAAACTTGACCTTTACGTCACTGCCACAATTAGGGTTCTGTGACTACAAATTATAAACCCCTCACACATGGGGACAGATCTCACACACTTCACCTTAAGCATACTATTGTTCTCTCTTTTCCCTACTCCTTTGTATTATCTCATTAATAAAATTTTTTGGTTACCGTTGCCGCCTTCAATGGTTAGGTCTCTAGACCCGACCATCCAATATTTGTCTTTTATTATTAACCGTTTTATTAATTGTTCTACATCATACACTCGACTAATTTGATTATTCATAAATTCACTTTTATGCGGTATCAATTTCTATACAACTCTACATGTTCATTGTAATTGGCTTGCACAGATTGACCCAATAACAACTTCAGATTCAATTTTTATTTATCATTTTTCTTGCAATAGAATCACACTTTACTTTGGTTATCTACTTATTTGAAATCACCTTATACGATTAATTTTCATTTGCGCATTTTCCCTAAAATCGTTTTAAGTTTAGCAATTTTGACATGCATGATGGACAGTTTGTTATGGCTATGAAGAAGCATTGTCCATAATCCTCATGAAGTGGTTTACTTTAATTGAATAGCCATCGTTTAAATAAGTTTCTATGGTTCGTTAAAATTCACTGATAAATATTAAGTTTGTGATTAAATAAATTAAATTTTAAAAAATTAATTACGCAATCGAATAGGATATCAATCGATGAACGACTACTTTGTTACATATGTCAAGAAAGAAAATTTTAAGTACCATTGATAATAAAATTATTATAAAACGCTTTCAAAATATGAAAACTTGTTAGAAATAATTGTGAATATTTATAGGATGCTTGATTGATGAGACATTTTTTGTGTTCAAGGAGAACGAGATATGTGTCCTTGACATATTGGCCACGGAGTGTTTTTTGAACGACACGTGTCCTCGACATATTGTTTGCGAAGTTCTCGGTATCTTGTTCGTAGAGTATTCTCTGNAACACGTGTGTGCGTATATGCAGAAGCTTGATTCTAAACACAGTATGACATAGTCTGAACAAGAACTATGTTGGATTGTAAAGGTTGATGTTCAGACTATGTCATATTGCCTATGGGCAGTTCATACAAACTTTTTTATTATATTCAGTCTTGCCTAGTTGCCTTCAACAAAACACAGTTGATATTCCATGCTAAAAGGATAGAGTAGGTAAGAAATGTGCATATAGATAGATAATTAAACAACATATATAATTCANGCATGTTGTTTGCGGAGTCCTCAACATCTTGTTCGCAGAGTATTCTCTGAATGTCCTCTGAGTTCTCGACATGTTGTCTGCTGCGTCTTCCACATCTTGTTCGCGGAGTATTCTCTGAATGTCTGCTGAGTCCTCGGCATGTTGTTCACGAAGTACTCGACATCTTGTGCGCGGAGTCCTCGGCATCTTGTCTGCAGAGTGCTCTCCGAATGTCAACGGAGTCCTTGACATTTTATCCGCGGAGTCGTTGACATCTTGTCCCCGGAGTGTTTTTTTAACGAACACATGTCCTTGACACTAAAGATACCTCAGAGTCTTCATCACGTGACACATGTCATCAGCTCCCAAAGTTCTCCGAGGAGACCTCCACCCGACACGTATACTCGACGTCAGGTTCTCCGCTTTGTCGAAGTATTGGCGACCACCTTGGGACTTGGGTTATGACAAATGATTGAGTTCTTAGAGAAGTCAAGAATGATGTCACCACATAAGAGGAATGAGTGACTTTTAATCATTAAACCCTTTTCCCAAAGCATGTCAAAATGACAAGGTAGACAATTTGGTGATCAATAGAGAGAGTTCACAAAATATGAAGCCCAAATGACATGACCTCCTGGAGGGGCAAAAGACACAAATACCCCAGCACATGCGCAGCCACAATGAAGGATATTAAATTATCTCTCAAAAGGATGAGACATATTTATTGCTCAAAGAGCCACAAAGAATAAACATTAAGTGCTTAGGAGTCCAAGCATTCAATGCATACACTAATTCTTCCACGCAAAATGGAAGGTATTCTGCTCAAAGACTGAGCACCACCTGCTGACTTCCAAATGGGCGACTGAGGGATTTCCCCTCCAAGGGACTCACCTGTCTGCAATGATTAACTCCATGAAGGTATAAATAGCTCTCACAAACTCAAAGCAAAGGTACACACATTCTCACTTATACAATAGAACAATGAATTCCTACTCCTCTCTGACGTACTGACTTGATCATCGGAGGGGTCACGCCAAGAAACACTCTGGCGCCCTTCTAACATTCTTTTTTGAGTGATACAATTCCTCTCGACACGCAGGAGTAGCACAGACTGCTGAAAAAATATTTCATCACCACTTCTTATACTGTTTCTCATCCTTGTTTATCACGGGATCATCGACTTCTAGGTAAGACTTATATTTACCAAGGGAGAGATCTGTCTGTTTATTTATTGTGCAAAAATTACCGCGCACATTGACAATTTAAATTCTCTCATGTATAGACGCAATATATAATTGAGTTCAATTTTTTTGTTAGGTCTTATAGATAAATTTATAGTGTTTATGTATATANATTTTTATATTATACCCTTCGTTTTCTTTCTTTCTTCCCCTTACATGAATGAATGACACTTTAAACCCTAAAAGATTGAAATTTTTATATTACACCCTTTATTAAATAACACGATTGTTCATAATACTCAATTTTAAGCACTTTTAATGAAAATTTTGTTTTCAATCTAGTTTTATATTATATTATACTATTCAAAAAGTACACTAACTAAAAAAAAAATTATTTTCCAAAATTACCCTTAAATAATACTACAAACTCGATTCTATCTTTGATTTAAAAGTTATTGAAACTAATTTCTCTGTTTTTTTTTTCCATTATTAATATGCTAGGTCATTTACTTCAATAACAATGAAATAATGTAAAACCTTACAAATTCTTGCACTTTATATTCAATATGCACCATCATTTGCATACATGAACCGTTTTTTTTTTCACACAAATAATACACACCAAGAAAACTCATCAACTTGTGATCTCTATAAATTCTGCAATCAAGCCCATCATACTACGCATCCCAAGTTTATCCATTCCGTAAAATACTTCTAAGTTGTCAAGGTAAGTACCTAGTCGTATCTACTGTTGATCTCTATCTTGTCAAATAATCATGATGAGCTCGTTCATCAACACATCCCAGTATACCAGGTCATTCACGTATGGGGAGGATATCCATGAAACTACAAGGGAAGAGTCGCATTCGATATCAATGTAGTTATAACCCATCTCTCTGCAAAAAACAAACATTAAGGGCTGTTTGGTACGTGGGTTTGGGATATAGGTTAGGGAATAAACCCCCTTAAACCTATGTTTAACAACTATACATTTAGTCCAAAGTTTGAAATCTAGTCCGGTCATGATTCGGTCATGGAATTCACATACTTGGATTTCATGAAACTTAAGAGGGTGAATTTCATATGTGAGTTAATGGGTTTAACATACAAATGACATTTATACGTTCATATATCTTATATATTCCATATATATAAATTGGTTAAGGGACATAATAATCATTTAAATATAAATATATTATCATAATAGTCATATATCCCTATACATACTAAACATAAGTATAGACAACATTGAATGTTAAATCCCATCTTTGAATCTCACCAAGTTTAAACAAGTGAATCCAAAC